TTATGACTCTAAAGTAAAAATAGGAGATCAATACCCAAGAACAGCCGAGATCAGTACCAGGAGGATTACTCCATGGTTTAGAGGCCAGGCGGGCATTCTAGGGGAAAGAGCAGCTCAGATAGAGAAGGGAACACCAAATAAAGGGTGTTTGAAGGGTCCTCCCAGGAGGGGAGATACATGTTGAAAGTAGACTATGGACTGAATATGATTGCCACTCAATGCCTCTCTTGCAGACCACAACACCCAAAAGGAGAGAGAGAACAAAAGGGAATGCCCTGCCACAGAGGCAGGGTGGTATGGGGGGGATGGGGTGGGAGGGACACTGGGATCCATGGTGGTGGAAAATGGGCACTGGTGGAGGCATGGGTACTTGATCGTTGTATAATCAAAACCCAAGTACAAAAATTTGTAAATCCACAACTGTACCTCAGCATGTTTCACTAATAAAAAGAAAGAAAGAAAGTAAAAAAAAAGAAATTATGACTCAAAATACTGAAGATCTCCCCCACTTTTGGTTGCTAACAAAGGAAAATATAACTGAAAACTCTCTAAAACATGAAAAGTGTTTGTATTTGATTTTTTTCTATAGCTGTAATGACAAGATCTGAAATGAGGCTAAGCAGGGCCTTCACAGAGTATCATGGAAGATACATAAGCTAAGAAGATTCACTCTGTAAAATCTGGTTCAACTGAGTCAGCCAGTTTGCAAGGGGGGTCGGGGACGAATCCTGCTCTCCTGAGTCATACTCATAAACGAGTGACTAGCATGTCCATGAGTACACAGAGCAACTAAGGAGTTTTTCAGACAGAAAATTCTCATGAGTAGAGATCGTATGTCTTTTTTTTTTAGTTGTTTTGCCTCAAAATGAGCTTTTGATTACCCTTATCTTAGAGCAGTATTTTAAAGTCTTGGTGGAAGATCATTATTATTATTTTTTTTTGCACTTGACAACTACCAAAAATGTCTGCGAACTGTACAAGTGGCTAAATTAGATGTGATTGCAGGCAAGCCAAAAATTGGCCCTTTCCTCTTTGGATGTTCATTTGTCTTTTTCCAAATTTTCAAATAGGAACTGGAGGCATAGGTTTAAAATCTATTTTATTTTCATCATTAACAATCCTGAAAATCACAGTACTTCAATAAAGTTTTTAAAAACTTTCTGAATAAAAAAGTAAAATCTATCTTATTTCTTGTAAAGTTAGCAGGGAACCACAACATCAAAGTTAAAAACATGTGTAGACTCAGTGGCACTTAAATTCTGGAATCATGGGTTAAATGCCATTTTCAGAACAATTTACCTCTATTGGAAGAATTACTACAGTTATAGAGTTGGATGTTAACACATAAACTGGCAAAGAAAAAAAAAACCTTTTCTTCTCCATGGTTACTAAACATTAAAAAGAATGAGTCTTTTGGAACTGGAGCTATAGTACAGTGGGTAGGGTGTTTGCCTTGCACTCGGCTGACCCAGGTTCGATCTCCAGGGTCCCATATGGTGCCCCAAGCACCACCAGGAGTAATTCCTGAGTGTAGAGGCAGGAGTAACCCCTGAGCATCACCGGGTGTAACCCAAAAAGCAAAATTAAAAAAGTCTATTAGAATAATATGAAACTAAAAACTACTTACACTAGTATATAGAAGATATTCTACATAAAGTAAACATAAAAATATGTAACACACAAAATATAACATTGTGAATTGTTCTACGAAATGAATTCTCAACAGTAATTTTAAATTCTTCTGAAAATACAAAATGCCAAGGGTCCTCTATTGGCCCTTGGCATTCTATGACACTCATACAATCCTACTGAGCTACTGAGCAGACAGGAGACCATGTGGTGGCAGGAATCAAGTTCAAGTCCATGTATACAAGATATGTACTCAACCCTTTGAGCTACTTCTCCAACTCTAAGCAATTCTCCCCAAACCTTATTCACTCTAAGTCACATGGTCATGCACTTTATTTCAAAAGAGTTTATAGAAAATATCTTTTCCTCTATAGAGGAAAAGGGGTTTTTTTTCTTGGTTTGTGTATATCCACAGGTATTCCCAGGGATTAGTTATGCAAAGTACAAGAGAGGGTAAACTCAGAGAAAGCAATGAAAATTCAAAACTATGTTCAATCCCAAGCCTCTCCCAACAAAATAGAGGGTACAAGGCATATTTTAGCAGTTTTATCACTTGTAATCTTTCACAATTTAAATCTCTCCAATACCAGTATGCTGAGTAAAAACAAATGATATTTTTCAGTCTAATGATTTAAGGATTTAATCAAATGTGTGCTTTCATCAAAGGTCTAGGCCCAATGTCCTATAAAACTTTTGGTGAAGATAAAAATGGTTTTCTAGGACCAGGACTGAGGCTATTGGTAAAACTTCAGCCTTGCTGTGTGAGACCCTGTATTTGACCCTGGCATAGAATGAAGCTGAGAAATAAGGAAGGTAATAATTTTCTATACTGTCTTTTAAGATAATGTGAAACAATCAAGCACTTGAAATG